TGTCAATGTCACTGCACCCCCATCAACTTGTAAAGGGAGGACGGTTATGTGAGCAAGGAGGAACTTTTGCGCCGAATGTTGCTGTGATCTGCGTAGCGTGCAGTGTGCAGCGCGTTAGATGGTTGCAGTGCCATTCGTAGTCCAACCCACCACCCGAATCTTCAATAACCCAAGCCCACATGCAAATGGTCGTTTTCGTAAGGTAGCCTTGGATTCATACGACTTGCCATTTTCGCCTAGGTCCTGTTTCTCCCTGCATGTGTTATTGCCTCTAGAAATACATTGATTGAAACAAAGAAAAAAACGTCTTGCAGTTTCGAGTCCATACCATGCCTGGTCTTGTTTTGCTCTCATGCTTGGCACCGTTGTGCTCCCCTGGCGTGACAGCGACTGCGCCATTTTACCCGCGCGCGCGCAGCACCTGGTGCAACATTAAAGCGTTGTGCCCGTTGTTCCGACATCAAAAATGGAATTGCGCCACCCGTCTCGTTGATACTCGTGCACTCTGTCGCCTGCCAGCGCAGCCTCTTCGTTCCACATTTTAACGAGACTACCAGGGGCATACACACCCTTGAAAACTCCCCGTCCAGGCTGCGCGACACCCACACGGGTGTACAGATCGGGGTCCTCGGGGGGCACCAGCCTGGCCGCCACGGCCTTGAGGAATGTCCACATATCCTGCGGGTCGGCAATACGAGTGGCCCTCAATCGTTCGCGTGCGAAGAGGAGTTCTCTGTTGGCGAAATGAAGCAGCTCGCCAATGCTGGCTGCAATCTGGGCTTCCAATGCGGCCTTGACCGTTGGCCGAATCAGAGGCTTAAGTAGCCAAGCGAGCCAGGAAAACTTGCTCTTTCGGAGGCTGTAATTGAGATGGTGGATGCGGACGCGGACATTGTGCAGCGTCAATATGTCCTCAAGCCGCTCCTTTCCAACCTCCACATCAATAGCAACATCGATTCCACGCTCATCCAGGTGAAAGCCCGCAATGCCAGCATCTGCCAACCTCAATATTCCCGAGTGGAGGCGCAGCCAATATCCGAGGTCTTCGGCAGCAATTGACAAGCCTGATACTGTAATCCTCATAAGAGTCTTCACCGAGGACGTGGTACGGAAGCGGGCCTTGCGGATCTCGACATCATTCTGTGTAGAAATATTGATCTTGAATGGTAGGAAGGAGCTGTTGTTAACGGTGCGGCCGGGTTCCAGAATAAGGTTCTCTAAAAGGAGATCGATAGCCGGCACCGATACTTCCACCCGAGGAATCGGGATGTACTGAATTGCCTGTACTACCATGGGTATGAAGACGTTGATGGAGTCCGCCACCAGTTCTCCGTTGGTGTATTGATGTGCAGGCGACAGAATTCGCAAGATTCTTCTGGTGGTGTTCATTGCCTTCTTGATATCTGTGTCTTGAAGCACAGAATTCAGAGCAAGATAGACCTTCTCCAACAACGCATCAAGATCATCGCGTATTGAGGACTCGGATGTCAACTGTCTCGACTTGGCTCTCAATTCCTTGAAGCGGTCCTCGGCGTGATCGAAGAAGTCAGGATCTGTCAGTATGTCCTGGAGCAGATTGCCGATCTGCCTGACGAGATTGTCAAATTCTGGATCGCTTTGACCATGCTCCATGACAGCCTTGAACTGTGCCTCAACATCATCCCAGTGCTCGCAATTACCCAAGGACGTAAGGAACAGCCAAAAATTGTGGAGTGCACGATCAGCCTCTGGGTTGGTGTCGATATCTTCTTGGGCGACCTGGATGGTATCGGAAACTGCATGCGAGTAGGCCAACAAATATCGCCGGATGAGTAATGAGAGAGTCGATACCGAGTCGGAGTAGTCTTTCCTCTCTCGCAAATTGACAATGGTGCTCTTGAGCCTGTGCACCAGGGTCTCTTGTTCGTCGCCGGTGACATGCTCCGTCAGGCTCTGGCCCGCTTCGTCAGCGACACGGGCGACACCGTCAGTGACAACCTTTGCGATGTCGACAACCTCATCTTCCAAATCGTCCTTGGTCGGGGGAGGCTTCGAATCCCCGTTGGGGTGCTTGACGGCTTCTTCTTCCTCTTTTGAGGGCTCAATATCCTTGGCCGCCTGCTTCGAGACGTCCGACAGGGTGAACGCAGTATCGCGGAAGACCTCTCGACCAATAGTGCTCAGATCCGAAAGTAGCAGGCGAAAATCCGAGTTGGTTAATATCAAGGAGCCCACCGTTTGTAAGCTTTTGTAGGCTTGGCAATTGTCAGTTCAAACTCTGAACAAACTTTCTTTCCTTGGTCGGAGCCAACGTGGGGTTACTGGTGTTATTTAAACAGAGACGACCCACCTGCTACAGTGTCGGCTCTGGCCTTTGCCTTGGAAGCTCGTGCACCGATGTCGTACGCATCAACTGACAGACGAGCCTTGGTGAGATACCAGATGAAATCTTGGATTTGATCCCTGTCATTCTTGTGTAATAGTAGCTCAATGAGTTGCTTGATCAAAAGCTTGACGTTGAGAACCAGGGCTCGCCCAGAGTCGCTGAGGTCGGGGGTATCAGGGTTGAGGACGTCTGCAGACAGTAGACTGCGCAGGTTGATGATAAGCTGTTCGTTGGATGGCATGTAACCCTTCCCGATGGCGCGAAGCATCTGGTACGTGTGCAGCTTCTCGTGCAGTCGCTGCTGCAAGGCTGTGTCGTCATTGTAACGCGGCAATAGAGGTTCGCGCTCGCGTTCCTCGCGCGATGGGCGGCCGAAGCCGAAGAAGGACATCATTTCGTAACGTGACCTCAGTCGAAGCCTAGTATAGTGCTCGATGCACTTTGATGGTTGCTGATGGACGGGAAGTTCTCAAGCTGGCGAAGGTGTCGTTGGTCTGTTTAGGTTGGATTGATGCTGTGTCGTTGAAAATCGTCACCATCCAAGCCAAGTCGACAGTCACAGCTAGCTACCTGTGCTACCTTACCTGACCTTACGCGGGAAGGAATGAATGAGCACAGCAGCTTCCGATAGTGACTGGGCAATGACGTAAGTAGAGAGCTAAGCTAAGATGCAGCCCCACTGCCTGCCACCAATGGAACGCCGCAAATTCCCAGGGCGGAGCATCATGTCCGAGCATGGCCCGTGCATCCCAAGTCCAGCCAGGAGCTTGGGCCCCATAACCGTCCTTTGAGACCCTGAATGGGAAACATGGAAATTCCAAATCATTAAAAATTCCCATCACCCAGTTAGTTGCTAACTCAACATTTCGTTTCTGCTTTGTCCCCGCGATCCTATTCGAGTCCTCATGTTTGGTCTTCTACCAACAAGATTCGAACATAGGTTCTAAGGGACCTTCCAAGTTAGTGCTACCAGTAGGGAACCCAGGTCGCGGATCTAAGTGCCGTACTGGCTCTCCGGATTCGTCATCTTCTTCATGCAGCGATTTGGCTGTCATAATCCACCCATCCATGCCAGGTGGCCCAAGGCGCAGGGTCAGTGTTTGGTATCTGTAAAGAGGCATCCGTAGTCCGAACAAAGTGGATATCTGGGGTCACCTCATGTCAGTCTGGCGGCTGGCAAGCAAACATCCCAGCCTCCAACTAGCTGCATCAGGGGTTATAGGCGAACTTGGGAGTCTTACTATCTTAGACTGCAGATATCGGCCGAAGGCTGTCAGCCCTATTCCATTTCTTTGGCGTCTGGTCTTTATGCCTCCATTGGCATGGATTATGTGGCCTGGGTAGCACGGCTCCTGCGATGCGACCACACAGCTATCCCACACTTTTTAGTCTCGGATGAGACCGTTTGGGTCGGCACCCTGGGCCTTCACGAGAATGATGACGCACACCACTAAGTAAAGGGTCCACGTATCCGCGGTTATGGCGCTTATCTTTCTAGCATAGGTACTTTGAATATGAATGGTGTATCATTCATTGATTGCAAGCCGCCCAACCTTACATCGAATTTTCTATCTCATCCCATCTACTGCGTGTTGGCATCAGTAGAAGCATCTCCATATCTTTTCCAGCTTTCGTACGAAGGAAGCTTGTTATACCTAAAGAGAGAATAACGTGAATAAGATTGGACTAACATCTCGCTGGCTATCCCCCTAAATATGTACATGCTTTGATATGCTGACGCAAGTCTAGGTTCATGAGATAGCTCCGCGGAATATCAAGCATCACATCATGCCCCTGGGTTCACCTGCACTCGCTTCAACTTACACAAACGGACTTGCGAGAGCCTTTTAGGTATTATGTTGATCTAGCCTTTTTCCATTCGATCAGCTTGAGTCTGAAGACTACATGTAGGGTCAGGGTTCTCCCTTGAAGTATCACGTAGGCTCTACAGTCTCCACGCTCCATATTTCTCAAGAAGTCTCCTGGCTCCAATGAACCGGTTTTCAAGTCCTGCTCATGTATTCGTCCCACCTTCTTCTTGGCTTTTGGGCTTCCCTTTGGCAAAAGTGTAACCAGTCTTCCATACAAATTTTGCTGGCAAGTGATCCAGACTTCATCCATACCTACCTACTATATGTAAAGTAGGAGATGCACCAATCGTTGTCGGGTAGTAAGTCAACCATGTACTTCAACTTTCCAATTGCGGCAAGACAGTTGCGATCCACCAGACCATTACCCCTCACACCATAATTGCTGTGCCTGACAACATCGGAAGGCTGCAGCCAAGGCGTTGCTTTCCATTGTTAGTGATCCCACCAGGCAGCCGTGGTGGAACCAACAGCTCGCGGGAAGCAGCCGCCTCGGTTGACCCGCTTACCAAAGCAGGATACACGCAGGCAACAGCTCAACCCCCGTTGATATGCAGCTGCCTGGTCGCCTTATTTGATGATGTGAGTCAAAAGAACTTCAGCAATTCTCCATTTGATTACACCTTGGCCCTTGTTTAGCGTTGCTGGATCATCGGCATATCATCTCGCCATCCAGTTCCTGCTCATCTAAATTAGTGTCAACTTCTTGAATCTGTCTCCGACTCAGCACTTTCTTAGGTCAGGCAGATTCCTGGGCTCATTCCGCGATGGTTTCCCAAAGCAAAGATGATGCTGTAATTATCGACCGCGACGATATCAGCAACTACAATTCCGAACAGATTCTCCCCGAGTCTCCCCAGGTTATCCAGAAAATCAGAGCCTGGCTGAACCCCACTTCATACGACTTCGAAAGCAGCGAGTACCGCAAGCACCTAGGTTCGCACATCTCAGGCACAGGAGACTGGCTGACGGCCAGCCATTCTTATAAGCAATGGCTACAGAGCGAAGATACCGGTCTGCTGTGGATCAAAGGGATCCCAGGGTCTGGAAAGTCGGTGTTGGCTTCGAAGATTATCAAGGAGCTCTCGAGTAATAACGAAGGGAACCCGGTGTTGTACTTTTTCTTTCGACAAATTATTGACGCGAACCATGAACCGGCTGCACTTCTCAGAGACTGGCTAGACCAGGTCTTGGCATACAGTCCGCCGCTCCAGAAGCGTTTGAAAGGGTACGTGGTGAAAGAAAAATACAGCGACAAAACTCGATTGTTTGCCACCATGTCGATACAAGACCTGTGGAACGACCTTCGACTAGCGTTCTCGGGACTGCCTGGTAGAGTCTACTGCGTCGCTGATGCTCTCGACGAAATGGATCGTGGCAACGACATCTTTCTACAGGCACTGGCAAAGCTTGGTAGCTGGAATCCTTCGAAAGTGAAAGTTCTCATCACAAGTCGTCCGGTCCCCGCCATTGAGGGTCCACTCCGACATGCTAAATGCAATCAAATTCGCCTTCAAGAGAACATGGTCGACGCTGATATTTCGACATTTGTGCGACAGGCACTGAAAGCTTCAGATATTTCCGACCATGATCGACAGCTCATCCAGGAAGCCATTCCAGGTCGGGCTAATGGCCTCTTCCTCTATGCCAAGCTGGCCATGGACTCTTTCCTCGAGGCAGGGGCCGATATCAAGGTAGTTCTCGCCTCTTTACCAGCCGACATGAACCAGATGTACACCGACTTACTCAACGAACACTCCCGCAGGTCGGGAATCTCCGACGCTGTCCAACGTCTGATCCTGCAATGGGTTACCCATGCGACCCGTCCGCTCAGGCTCCTCGAGATAGCTGAGATGATCGACGTCACCCACAACGATGTGGTTCGTGATTTGAAGGGCACCAAAGACCTCGTTAGAGCTGCATGTGGTCCTCTCTTGGAAATCCTGCCGGACGAAACCGTCTGTGTCATTCACCATTCATTTACAGAGTACCTCAAGCGTACGACCAGATCATCATATGATAACGGCTACCCCGTGCTTCGCTTTGGAGACACGCACGCTTGCCTCGGCTCAGCGTGTCTGGCTTATTTGGTCTCCGGTGTCTTTGGTGAAGGAAAAGAAGCAAAAGACACTCCGATTGTCAAACTGAAGCTCAGGTATCCATTCCTGGCTTATGCTTTGGATAATTGGCATGTCCATGTTGCTAGATCAACAGCTGCAGGCCATGATCAGACCGACATCAATGTGACACTGGACAAGCTGATGCGTGATCCGGAGACTCAGGATATCTGGATCAAGCTCCAGTGGTTCACAATCGGTGATGCGAACTCTGGCATAACGCCTCTCCACGTCGCTGCAATGCATGGGCTCACTGCATATGCAAAACATCTTCTTTTGTCTCCCGAGACCGAGATAGACGCGGTCGATGTTCACGGCAGAAATCCCCTATGGTGGGCTGCTACAAATGGGATGGCCGACGTTATTCAGGCACTTATAGACGCTGGTGCAAATCCCGATCAGGATGAGACTGGTAGTGGTCGCAAGCCATTGCACGAGGCCGCCTCGAAAAACCACCCAGAGGTTATCAAGGTCCTCCTCAGCGCTGGAGTCAATCCCTTGACGGAGAAGACAAGGGAAAATCCTGGGCGTCGGTGCGGAAACGCACCTCGATCTATCGGACATACACCCCTAATGGTCAGTGACCACGTCTTTGCTGACTACGTGCTTGCGTATCTGTTGATCGTTTCGCTGAACTTTGAATAACGCAGTATGCTTGCAGAAACGGGCACCTGGAGGCCCTGGAAGCATTCTTGCCTTTTCTCAAAGATAAAGAACCCCTCCATCGAGCCCTTGCCTGGTCTGCGGGATCGGGCCGGCACGATTTAGTCCGACGGATCCTCCAACATCCTGAGGTCGATATCAATCGCAAGGTCCGCGGCGGAACGCCCCTGTTCATGGCAAGCCAGAGCGCTCACATCAAGACCATGGAGCTCCTCCTGAATGAAGGGGCGGACCCAACAATCCGATGCGAGTTTTATGACGAATTTGCTGGGATGGGCGGCATGAGAATGTTCCTGCGTCACGATGAAGACGATCAAAATCGAATCATTGGAACTACGCCTTTATACGCCGCTCTCGAACAGTCTCGCAGAGGAAATTCTCCAAAAGCTGAGCCAGATAAGCTCAAGAGTCTGCTGGAGTTATTCGTAGAGAAGGGGGCTGACATTCACGATCAGTCTCCTTCCGGGAGTTCTCTACTGCACATAACCGGCGATCCCGTATGGCTGAAAATTCTGCTCGATGCAGGCGTCGATGTCGATGTTATTAATTGCGATGGCTGCACTGCCCTTCATGGGAAGATGCTGTCAGTTGAGTCTCTGTCTCTTCTTGTTGAAATCGGCAAGGCCAATATCAATAGGAGGGCCTCTTCTAATGGGAAAACGCCGCTCCTTATCTCGCTTGAAGACCACCACACAGACACGACCCTCAAGCTCATCGAGTACGGCGCAGACTGCACCATCGCTGATAAAAACGGCAATGGGCCTTTGCACATTGCCTTGCAATCCTACAGCGCAGAACCCGAAGTCATAGAAGCACTCTTACGCGCTGGCGCAGACCCGAATTTGAGAAACAAATCTGGACAAACACCCTTGGACGCCATGTTCTCGCGGAACTCACGAGTATTCGATTTGATGGACGTGATGGTTCAAGCCGGCGTGGATATCAATACAAGAGATAAGAATGGCGCAACAATCCTTTTTCAGACTGTCTCAGGAAGGGCCTCCAGCTCAGAGAATGACTTGCAGGACACGATAATCAAGCTCCTGGACCGGGGTGCTTTGTTGAAAACTCGAGACTTCGAGGGGAGGACCCTTCTACACGAGTTAGTCAAGTCACAGAAAGTGCCTCAGGCCTCTTTCGGTCGACAAGACTCTGGTCCTTCCACCTTTGATTTCCTCGTGGATCTGGGTCTAGACGTTCATGACACAGACTACCGGGGCAACAATTTGCTTCACGAATTATGCTGGCGAATCAATACCGAATACAGACCCAGGGACATGCTTGAACTGCTGAAGGCGCTGCTCAAGTTGGGCCTTGACGTCAATCAACCCAACAATCGTGGTCGAACACCACTTCATCGGCTTTGTACCAAGGCCGAAGATAGTCACATCGACAAGGGCGAGACTTGTCTTTCACTGGTTATTTCTCTTACAAAAGATATCGACGTTCGCGACAGGGACGGTGTTGCCCCGTTGCATCTAGCCGTAACCGTGTCAGAGTATCTCACCAAAAAGCTCCTTGATGCCGGTGCGGACCCTACGATCGAGACATACGAAGGATTAACGCCGCTTCACCTCGCGGCTAGATGCCGGCAGGGCAATGTTGTTGGTATGCTTCTTGACGCGCTGCATAAACGAGATTTGGGCGAACCACTTGACGGTCTGATAAAGAGAGGGGCCTGGCTGAAAGCGGCGAGTGAAAGCCCAATTACTGGGGTCAATGCCACAGCCAACGAATCCATAAACGGGTGTGACTGCACACCACTGTACTACGCTGCTCTCTCAGGGAGAACAGAGGTAGTGTCAATGTTGTTCGATGCTGGAGCCCATGTCAAGGGAGTGAGTTTACGGCGTGCTATTACCGGGTTCGAGGATGAGCTCGAACTATGGCGTGTGAGATTCCCTCACGACAAGGAGAATGGGGCGTGTGGGGGTCTGACGAAGGAAGATGTCACACGTCCATATTCGAGTGGTGGGCGCAACGCCAGGGATAAACTCGATCCCCTCGAGGACACGGCAAGACTCGAAGAGATTATAGAGATGGTCTTGGAACACGGCGCTGATCTGACCAAGCAGAACTTCTGGGGTACGATTGACATAGCATACGGTTCTCTGACCGACACAACCATGTCCGGCTGTCGAGACTATGCGCTCAAGTGCCTATCAGGTGCAACCAAGAAGCACTCGTTGAAGAGCTCGCAAGCAGCATCACAGCGTGGCCAGAAGTTGCCTACCTATGACGAGATAGTCATCCCTCACCGACGTGACGCCATATTTAAGGCACTCCGTGAGCCTGGAGTCATCGTACCAGGCAAAGCAAATGAGATTTTGTTCATCACGCAACTTAGACGTCGCGAGTACGACGTCATAGAAGAACTGCTCAACCTCGGCGTTGACTTCCTGGCCCCTCACCAGAACAGCGGGCTTACCAACTTGGGGACCCTTGTCAGAGGAGGTTATACTTCTCTTGTCAACCGCATCGGCTTGCTCGTGTCTCAAGCACAGGACGAAAAGGGCATTTGGCACGCTCCAGCTGATGGAAAACACGCTATACCTGGCCACAAGAAGACATGGACCCACGGCGTGTCAAACTACAATGGCAACGAAAATCGCCAAGCATTCCTTTGGCAGGCAGTCCACCAGGAGGTTCCCGTGTTCGACATGATACGTCTCCTTGTAGAGACCTTTGGCGTTGATATCAACGAAGACAGTGCCCTTCACTCGCTTGCCAAAGGCTATCACTGGTGGCAAGTCGCTCAAGCTTTATCGTACCTTATCATTTGGGGTGCGGACCTCGAGATCAAAAACTCTAGAGGGCAGACACCACTTCATATAGCCTTGGGCATGGAAGATGGCGTCGGATTGTTCCACATTGACGCCGCTCATCAGTTGATCCTAGCTGGGGCAGATGTTAACGCTGTGGACAAGGCTGGACGAAGCTGTCTTTCTTATGCAAGGCATGATGTCGACCTAACTCGTTTTCTGGTAAAACACGGCGCGGTAGTTCACGCAGATGCGATCTTTGGTGCTATCAACGAGATGCAACCAGGAGTGCTCGATGCTCTCTTGTCTGCCGGAGGTGATGCCAATATTCGTACTGAAAAGAACGACAAAGAACCCTGGAAGTCCGGGAACAGTCGGTGGGACCTGAGCAGGCTTCCAGACGCCGAGTGGTACCCTTTACATCGGGTTGCGGCGAAGTCTGGTAACAATACTTATGACCAGAAGGTGGGAACCGAGCTTCACTCATCGGCTCTCAGCTTGATCGAGGTCCTCTTGTCCCACGGAGCCGACCCGCTGTCTACCTTTTCAAGATGCTCTGGGCAAGAATGCTACCATCAAAAGATTTACTCCCGACTGCAAGCTAAAAAGCTGTACATGTTTGACGAAGGGCCCGATGTTTATGACGCTATGGGTGACCCAGACTACTCTTTCGAGCCGCACCTACATGAGGACTGTGTCGTTCTACACCAGCTCTTAGCTGATGGACACATCGTGCATCCTTTCTTGAAGCTGCCGGCGATTGACGCAAATCATCGTGACGGCAGTGGTCGAACTCTTCTCCATGCTGCTTGCTCCTCTATTCGGGGTCCTGATGTGCCCTTGGACTTACTACCAGGAGATCCATGGGATCCCCAGACATCGAAAGAGGAATCGGTCTTCGGCCATCTCGTCTCCCTCGGTGCGGATGTGGAAGCGCAAGACAACCAGAGGCAAAACATACTTCACCACATGCTGAGACCCCCTTCGGGGCGAACCTACCAATCACCAATCATCCGGGAGTCACTCGCATTCACGATAGAGAAGCACCCATCGATTATTGACCAGAAAGACAATGAGGGCAAGACGCCGCTGTACCTAGCCATCCACCGAGGTCTTTACGAAAAGAGTATGACAGCAGCCGACGCACTCCTCAGAGCCGGAGCGGACCCTCTCATCGCAGACAACGAAGGCAACACTGTTCTCCACGTTCTCTCTCGCATGCTCTGGGTTTCCTCTATGCGACCGCTGTTCAACGCGCTCGTCGAGCGCGGATGCGACGTCAACGCTCGCAATTCGAAGGGCGAGACGCCGCTGTTCTGGTACTACGCAGGGTTCGAGAAAAGGCAGCATGAAGTCTACACGCACAATCGTGACCCGAAATTGTACGACGAAGAAGGCGGGATCGGAGCGTTCGAGGCGGTGGGCGCAGACTTCGGGGCGGTAGATGACGACGGACGGGGCTTGTTACACGTTGCTGCGGAGGGCCACGTTCTTCGGTTCAAGACCCTGACGGCGAGGGGACTCGATCCGTTGTTGGAGGACAAGAGCAGGAAGACGGCGGTCGATGTCGCGGCTGCGTGTGGGAATAAGGGGGTGTTGAAGCTGTTCAGGCGGGTCGATGCTGTGGATGGTTCGGAGGAGGATGACGATGATGAGTCGCTTGATCTGGACGATGTTTTCTGGGCTCGTTAAGCTAGTCTGTTAGATGAATGATTCCATAGCAACGAAAAAATTTCCTTCTAAAAACTTTCACGGCTTCCGCGGTAAACAGATTCCAGAGGTGATTGGACGGAAGCAATTGTTGTCACTGGTGTAAAGCAAGATCTTACAGGATAAGTGCCCAGCCAGACTGCTGAGTCCAGCAACCGTAATTTCCCCTCTATTTCCATACCAAGGCCGAGTATAGCGCCGCCAGGTATCATTTTCGCCTACGAATAGGCGAAAACACCTACTTAAACATGGAGAAGGGCGCCTACAGCTGCCTCACGGGGAACCTTGGCGTGACGCGGAAGCAGGACTTTGTGAACATGGGTGAGATCTTGGCAGGCTCAGCATTTTCTCTCTCTCACCGAGTCACCGAGCCTCACCTCGATCGATTGTCTCTTCTAATGCAGTCCGCGGGTCCGGCCACGGCTCAAGAATAAACGCGCATTGGGAGGTTTTTCAGTAAGCTTAGCTCGCGTACGGGGAGTGTCGGCGTGCTAGTAAAAGCTCAGGGCGGGGAGTGTCGGACAATGTGTCGCGCTTGGTGGCCTGTTTGTCTGCGTGAGCGTGAAACAGACTGCTCTCGGTTCCGGAATTTGCGCGGGCGGCCACCGCGTTGGATGCCGAAGCTAAGAGCCGCCGGATTGTTACCCATCCCGGTAGCTGAAGAGGGAGAAGTGGTCCAATGGGCGTTAGTAGTTGGTTTGCCGTTATGGGGTTGGACAGGGGTGAGGCTGGGGATGGAGTTTTGGGGGAGCGGAGATCCTTGTTGATAGGGGCTGTGGGTGAGCGTCGCACTTGGGATGTGGAGAGCTGCGAGAAGGAAGTCAAGTGACTAGTAGATTTGAGAGAGAATGTGTTTTGCCAATAGGGGCTAGAAGATGCCGTGGGGATGGTTTCTAAGCGATTTCGGGCTACATATTGAACTGTATGTTTAATGTGATCTTGGGCTCCGTTCAGTGGGCTGAGAACCAAGCCCGTTGGGATGGAAACTCTCCGCTGCCCCCAAAAAAAATCCGTCCAAGTTGAGAATCCCCGGAAAGCATCAGACTTGTACCGGGCCAGTTGCCTGCGTTGCCAATATCGCAATAATGATCGATTGGTACTAAGGTACTTCATCTCACAGGCCACGCTTAACTTTCCACTCTGCTCTATAGACCCATATGAATCTAGACCTATGCATGCGACACCATCCAGTCTCCACCATCTAACTCTTGTGCGTGACCTCCACATGAGAAGCTTCCGCCTCCTTAAGCGCGCTCGAGGCATTACCCGTGCCCACCTCAGCAGACTCGCCGTCAAAGAGATACGCCATGTTTTCCAGCGTCCGGCCCCTCGTCTCGGGGTAGTAGAACCAGACGCTGATGAGCATGATGACGAGCACGGCGAGGAAGACAAAGTAGTACTTCCATTCAATCGCCTCGAGGGCGATGGGGTTGACGAAGGTGTTGAAGAAGACGCAGCCGATGCTCACCATGAGGGCTACCGTAAGACCCTTGGCGCGTAGGCGGTAGGGCCAAATCTCAACGGGGTAGGAGACCATGAGCGGGGTCAGGGCAATGTCATAGCCGAGGTAGAAGCTTTGGGAATGTTTAGTTGATTGTGTTGGGGCTTTCATTGGGGCCAGTGGTTACTGGGGAGTGTCTTACATGAAGAGGAAGGGGATCACTGCTGTGCCGGTTGGTGCGTTGCCTGTGTTGGCGAAGCTACCGGAGAGACCGGTGACAATGGAGAACGAGATCAACATGATGGTGCCCTATCTTTCAGTCAGAGGTGTTGTTGGACATTGACATGTGCACTGGCTTCTCTTGGCTTACCGAAGCAAGGAACAGTCCTCGCCGGCCGGCCCTGTCAACCATGATGGCAGCAGTGGAGGCGCATATGAGGTTCCAGATTTGGATGCAAGCTGAGATGAGAGTTTGGTCGTCGACAGAAGTGATGCCGACAGAAGACTAAGATGCCACATATTAGACTCGGCCTGGTTCTACTGTGCAAGGGATCAAGTGTTTCGGATGGGTTCACTTACAAGTACCATTGCCAGATAGTAGCTGACGACGCCAACACCGCACTAGAGTTAAATAAGTATAATGTCTTGATGGCGGATCCCCAAGTACTCACCCATTGTGCAAACACGCCCAAGCTGACGGAGATGAAAAGTCGGTGTCGGTTTCCGGGGGTGGCCCAGAGATCCGACCACTTCGTCTCAGAGTGAGCTTCCTTTTCGGCTCGGATAGTATCTTCGATTTCCATCATCTCAAAGTTGACGAGAGGTGAGTGGGTGTCGCCTCCGGCGTGATTTCGAGCAATGATGGCTCTTGCTTCGTCGGTTCGGTCTACCGAGACAAGCCACCGAGGAGACTCCCCGATGAAAAGCAGACCGGGGATCGAGAGCACGGGCAGAGTGACTTGCAACAGCGAGGGCAGTCTCCACGCCCAGTGATCGAGGTTTCTGGTACCGTACGTCGCCCAGGCGGCCACCACCGCACCAAAGTACCAGCCGCAGTTGTACAGAGCAGACACCATGCCGCGATGCGTCGGGTAGGCGTTCTCCGTGATCAACAGAGGCGCCGAGAGGAAGAAACCAGAGGCACAGCCGATGAGGAAGCGAGCGCAGACAAAAGCGGCGTCGTTGGGTGCTGCAGTCTGTAGGACAGATCCGGTGCCCAGACAGACCCAAGAGACGTAGATGCCCATCTTGCGGCCGTACTTATTGCAGACCCATGCGGCGATGGGGTACACGAGGACGTTGCCGAGGGAGTAGGCGGCGTTGACGAAGCCTAGCCAGGCGCCTGTCGGCTGCTTCATGAAGGCATGCCACTGAGGCAGCGCGAGAAGGCCGTTCATCATGGAGCCGTCGTACCCGTTCGCAGAGGCACACATGATGAGGGAGGCAATGCAGAGGTTGAGGCGGAGGATATGAGGCTGCTTGTACCAGGGGCCAATATCTGGTAGCACGGCCGCCAGTTCCGCACCGACAGCTTTGGCGTTTGCTTCTTTGACGTGGCCCATTCTGAAGGATATGAAGTTTGAGGAACTGGTTGAGATGGTGATGTCTCAAGCAGAAGTTCTACCAGGTGGACGGGACACAGCGTTGCTATATATCGTTTGTCCAGGATCCATAGCGTGCTATGGGGTTGCGTTTCTTCCTTGGAGTTCAAGGTAACAGATCTTGCTCGGCTCGGTCTTTGATGGCCAGGGAATGGCAGCATCCGCGTGAACTTCGGAAGGAATCAACATGGCTCAATGGCTGATGCTAGCCTGCTAGGTCGTCCGATGTTTCTGGTGTGCCAATGCCCATGTTACTTGCGGAGAGAAAACCCCGCATAACTCCCTGCTGCTTCAAGCGCGGCAGTGGGCCAATGACGTTGATGATCAGGCCCCGGACACGAGTTGTCAAGAATCAAGAGGTTGCGAGAAACTCCGCTCCTCCCACTGCGCTGCCCATGGGGCCCCCCAGGTTTCCAGGTTTGATATGTGTGGATTTGTGGGGGATATAACGCGGGTTGGAACACCTGGTCTCTCCCACGCTAACGGGTTTATTGGCCTCGCCAAAATGGGGCCAGTGCTGCGGGCGGCAGGCAGTCGGGAATACGGGCATTAGGAGGGGGCTAAAGAGGAGGGCGGCGGCTCGCCCTTCCCATTCTTTCTTTCCAAACAAATGACTCGTAAATCTCGGTGAGGCTATGCAGCTTTGCTTAGGCGTGCGGATTGACGGACCGTTTCTCCCACGCGTGAGAACCAGGCATACAGGCTCATCGATGTCTTTGTAAGTTTGTGGCAAGTCTAAGTAAGTTCAATTACAATGTTCAACCTTACTACAAGTTGTTGCCCAATTACTAGAATTATTGAGTCTATCTCTCGCTACCCTTGCAGCGTTGCTTTCAAGCGCGATACATGAGCAATCATCTAATCTAAGAATCCGGTATCAAGGCATACGGAAGATGTAATGGGAATGCGAGATTTTGAGCGGATTGATCGGGAGAGGGTTGCCACTGCATTGCGGTCAACCGAGGTATTGAGTTGTCTCACTGATGACTATAGGTAACGTGAATATGCTACCCGTCTCCCGGACGCACAAGTCTCCAAGTAGTTACGCCATCAACACTGCCAAACTTGAACCATGCAATTTGGTGCTGCGGGAATCGGCTGTTTCTCGGGACCAGTGTAGGAGAAAGGCACCTGAAGGTCCAGAACGGTGTAAGATGAGCCCACATTCCGGACAATGCTAGAGCCCATGCGACATTCCATTCGGACTTTTCTGCAACGTTTGTTCGTTCTTCACATTTGATGCAATACGAATGCTTTCTCTTCTTACTTAAGCAATACTTCATCAAATTCAGCCTTCTGAGATCACTACAGGTACACTCCACGGACTCCTATCGTATCGCTTTGTACGGAAGTTGAAGATAAGGCTACTTATCTGAGGTGATGATGGAGGCAACTGGGATGCTCAGACATTTATCACCTCACATACCCATGTTGGATTATATCCTTGAAATTCTGTAGCTAGGGAGTTGCCTGGGTATGGAAATAAGGAAAAAAGAGAAATAATGCACCGATCGCCACAGCCGTCACCGCAACTGCGAAATCCACTATATGAAAGATTTCAGGGGCTGTGAAAGCTGAATAATAGAGCGGTCTCTTACGAATTCGACAGCTTCCAAAACAGATAACATTGCAGCTTTCGTGGCAGCATTCAGGGGGACCGGCCGGAGTGTTGTGAGGTAACTGATCACGCGTAGACATGAGAGTAGATCGATGTCTTCAACTGCCATCTTAGATAGGCGATTCATTTTGCCATGGAGTATTAGTCGGTTCCTTTTAACAACTGGTCTTAGGCTTGATTGTCAACTCTAAGTTCATTGCAAGATACGTTCGTCTAGGATCCAACTTTACTCTACTTTACCTACTGCAAAGGCTCACACCACCAAGAAGGCGGCCATGTCATCATACTCATCAAAGGGCTGTCTTGCCTAATTAGTCTCGTA